AGACAATCACTGGCCAGCAGGTCTGTCAACCTAGCAAAAACAGCTACATTTTGGCTCAGTGAGAGACACTGTCTCACAGTAATAAAGCTAGGAGCACACATCCAGCTCTAGCCCCCATATGTGCACATATATACACATAAATAATTCAGATATCAACATTCAGAACCTAAACCAGATTATAAATACTGGACTCAAGATTCTAAGAATTTCTAAAATAGTTTTAAAATAGTTTTATAGTAAAATAGAATTTCTACTAGTTCAAAAACAACATTGAGAAAATTAAAACACCTAAGCAATGTAAACATGTTTGGGGATGCATATGATGCATATTCCTTTATCTTTCTTCTACCAGTCAACTATACAGCATGCCAAAAACTTTCAGACTTGATTAAACAACTTCACTCAGGTATGCATTATTCCAAAACAGCTACATATTGAAGTATACAAGAATGAGTGACTGAGGGCAGGGGAAGCAAAAAATAAGGGGGAGGGGATAAAAAGAATTATTCACTAGCAATATCCAAAGTTAACTAAAAACATCCTATAAAAAGCTAGTGAGTGAACCACATATAATTCATAGCGAGCCAAAATGAAGCCAGATGTTCTTTGAAAGCCTTAAATCCCAGCACCCAGAAAGCAGAGATAGGTAGATTTCTGAAGTTCTAGCCAGCCTGGTCTACAGAAAAAGTTCTAGGACATTAGGACTACAAAGAGAAACCCGATTTCAGGAAAGAAAGACAAAAATAACATACTGGGCCACAGTGAAACAGCTTCCCAACTTGATGCTGGTTATAACATCTTAAATAAATACCAAGTCTCTAGAAGTGTAAAAACTAGGCTTCATCTTTGACTTAATTCCTAAAACATATTAAATGTCATATACTACAACTACATAAGATTTCCATCCCATCAGCTCACAGGAGAAATGCTTACCAACTCCCACTGTCTATAGTTTCAGCAGTCCACGGTACCTAATGCAGTATAATTAATTTCCTTTTTCCTGTGTTTGCTGAACTAGTACCTACCAACTTTTAGAAACTTTCCAGCAGGTTCCTTTTACAATCAATAAAAAGAGAGATCTACACTAACTTAATGATAATGTTGTTAATCATTTTATTAACTAAATATTTTAGATAAATCCTAATGGTAATATTAAATTTTAAAATACAGGATTTCTTGTTCACTCTTGAATGTACTTGGTCTCTAACCCTCCTAGAATGATCAGTGCACACACTTGCAAAACATGTTACACTGATGAATGCAGAGCACTGCCACAGACAATTCTAGAGTAGCTTAAATCATTCCCAGGGTATCTACTCTTGCTATCCACCCATTCACGGTGAAGTAGTTCGTTTTAATGTTCTCACTGTTTACCAGAAAGCATAGACAGTAAGGCTGACTTTGCCGCTCCCGTTTCCTTTTGCTGGCCTGCTGAGCTTTTGCAGCCAATTGACTTTGCTTTGACGCTATAAATATCTGGGAAATGTTCTGCATCTGATGCTCTTGGATTCTGCATCCATATTTAGCTGTTTGTGGCATGTCTTTGTTTAAGCTACTCTACAACTCATAAACACAACCAGGTTGAGCTCTAACCTGGCAAAGTGAAGATGGACTGACACTCAACACCTCTTTACTATGAGGCAAAGCACCAATCTGCTAGACCTGATGACAATAAAGGAGGTGGCAAAGTAAGGATATAAACAAGACAGACTTCCTAGTATCGAAATTTTATTGTCTTGACAGGACATGAGCACAATTATTGTAACACTGGAATGAAACATTTTACTCAAAGGACAGCATAAAGGTTTTCTCTTAGCTGTGTCTTAACCACTTGCATTTGTTTGTGCTTTAAATATAGATCCACCTACTACAAAGTTCTGAACATATTCCAAAGTAGTTCTCCAAATCATGGCAATACACAAAGCTCTGGATCAATCAAAGAGCCAAACCTGTTACCCACAAAGTAAAAACAGTGTCAGTCTTCAGACCTGTTAAATAAAATACTGCTCCTAAAAGTTTCTGTGAAATATTCTTAGGAAGGGAGAAATATTTTTGTTTGTTTATTGTTTTTTTTTTCAAAGAAAAGTCTCGAAGAGGATGTGAGCTGCGGGCAGCAGCCAGCATCACTCAGTACTTCTCAGTAGTCTACCTTTAAAATCGTGTAGCTCCCCACACTGTGTAAGCCAGACCTGAGCAGTACCTTACATCTACCTTCCTAACGTGTGACAACATCCCAAACAGATACACATCTTGCTCTGACTTTCCTTCTTGCAATTCAGTTCACTGACCTTTGGAGGAAAGGGTTCCCGAGAGTCCTCCTGACAAGGACGACTTAAAAAGCACTGTGACTGGCTTCTGAAGTCAGGATGGAATTTGTAAGCCAAACAGTAGTTAAATAATGGGACCAACTAAACCAGATTCCACATGTGATGTACAAACTTAGAGCCTGGAGTTAAAACTATTTGTCCAAAATTAGAGAACCAACCTGTGACAAAGCCAGAATTATAAGCCACGTTCTTAACCTTCAGTCATAGGTTCCCCAATTCCTGGGTCCCCAATTCCTGGGGTTCTTTGAAATAGGTGGACCACAATGGAAAAAAAAAATCTCAAATTATGAAGATCAAATATGACCCAAGAGAATCAGTTTTGAATACACAAAGCAGACAAGAAACAATAAGAACAAACTAATGTTCCTTAAATTTTTACTTTCCAACTGGGCGTGGTGGCTCATGCCTTTAATCCAAGCTCTGGAAGTAGAGACAGGCGGATCTCAGTGAGTGTGAGACCAGCCTGGTCTATATGTCAAGTTCCAGGTCAACCAGGGATACACAGTGAGACTCAGTCTAAACAATAAATAAATATTATTTTAAAAATTGATTTTCCATATTCTGTTATTCTGACTTCAAAGAATCATACAATAGACAATTTTAAAGCAGCCAAGCGTTGTTTAGTTTGGAATGTTTGTAGCCAACTACGGACAACCAAAGCAGTGTCCAGGGTCAACTTCCTTAGAAGAAAAGCAGCAGTATTAAACAGTAAATAAAAACAATTTTTAATTAACTGACAGAAATCATACATTTAAAAAGAGATGATGCAGTGGAAATTCTGCCACTTGACAAAATGCTCCCTCTGAACGCCTTCTTGTGTATGAATGTGTGTGCATGTAAGCCAACTACTCCAGATTTCATGCTGCGTGCAGAAACCTGGAACCAGGGGATAAAGCCCGACGTGTACAAAGTTAAGTGACAACCACGCTGTGGCAAAACCAAATAGAAAACCATCAGGTTCTCAGCCCTAATTGTATGTTTTTAGGTGTAGATATGCAAGGTGGGGTGTGTTTATGTGTGTGCAAAAACATGCATGCAAGTCAAGTTCTAGAATAGACTATCAAAACAATAGTATAAATCTATATGGGTTCCATATGAAGGATGATATTTAAAATAACAGCTAGAATACCCAACTTTCTGAACACTCATTTACCAAGTCATTACATGTTTATAAGAGTAACATGGTCCTATCGCTAACATCATAAATTAGCAAAATGTATCCACAATGAATCCCAATTTATATTCATTTTTAGACTCTCATCAACCTGTCATAAATGATCAGCTAAACTGAACTTGCAGACAGGTGGACTATATCAGGCACCAAAGCTTTTAATCTAACCTGATAAGCATAAAGTGAGTAACTTTGCATCAGTTCCCACTCCTTTGCTTTAATTCTTACACACACACACACACACACACACACTCTTAGAAATATCAGCAAAATACAGAAATTTCTAAGAACTAGTCATAAGTTGCTGATTTTTTTTTTGATTGGAAGAACCTTTCCAGAATATTTAATACAATCCACTCACTTTCTAGATAAGGAATCTGAGGGGGAAAAAAATAACCTAAATTATTTAATAAGTTTAGTGACAGAACTGAGGCAAGAACTCAAATGTCTGAGAACTTTCTCTCAGAGATAGACATGAAGTCTTGAAGTCAACCGAACCGTTCAAAAGTCAGCTTGCAAACCATGCAAACGTTGGTCTTGAATTGTAAAGTGTAGATCCTATTTGGAAGTATGAAAGCAAAAAATAAATATAATATGTTGATTACTAATAGGCATAGATGCACATTACTACAGAATAGCGTCTCAACACTGTACTTGATCCCAGATGCTCCATACTGGTCATTTTAGATTCAGCCACATGAGCTAAGTGATAAACATCTTGCTATTTCAATATTTTGGAAAGCCGCAGCTACACTGTGAATGCAGATTACAAATCCTTGGGCAGTGAGTTTTCAAAATCAGCATGTTTAATGTTGCCACGGCCTTACCTTATGAGAAAACCACCGTTCAGTTTTAAGTTAAAAGGTGGTTACTAGGAATGCAGAAAGGAAAAGTTTTTAGTGTGTTCATCACTTTAAACCTGCTGAGTGGCAACCCGGTCGCTTTGCAATGAAAACCAGAAACAACAGTGCAATCTGAAACAATCTTTGCACTCAGGATGAGCGGAGACTAAGGTTCCAAGGAAAGCTGTAGATAAATCTACTGCTACCAAACCCTTGAAGTTGGACTGGTGCTTGCTCTCTCACGCTGTTTTGTTGTTTGTTTTGGTCCATTAGCTCATCTTCTACTAAGATTTTTCATATCTTCATTCCCAGACTTGCTTCACTCAACAGGAAGGAAATGAAATCTCATTCACTTGATTGTGTGTCTTATTCCATCATACCTGCCTAAAGACTCAGAAGCAAGTGCCCTTAATTAATCACCGAAGAAATACGTCTAGACAGCTCAACTACTTAAACTTACTGTGGATATCTAAAGAGGTCCAAAGATCCTACTAAGTCACATACCCAGGCGCTATATTGAACTTGTCAAAAAACGCATTTCCTGAAATAAAAAGGGATGTGGGCAGCTGACCTAAGATAGATGGGGTCTGGGAATGCAATGGAGCCCAAGGCAAGAGAAGAAACGCCGGGCTTTTAAGACAGACGGCCTGTGATCCTTACCGTACACTCGGACCCAGCTCTGCTGCTGACACACCGACTCCAGAAGGATCCGATCCAGCATGCCACCGGCTACTGCCCCGCTGACTGGGACGACCGCGTCCAGATCCTCCGGGGGCAGCGGCGAGTCGGACTCCAGCCCCGAGAACATCTCCGGCCACGACAGCGCCTCCACGGCTCCTCCGGACGACGGGGAGAGCTCCATGGTGTCCCGGGGGGGAAGAGCAGGCGGCGGCGGGGCGGGCTCCCTGGCTGCGGGAAAGGGACGACGGCGCGGTCACCAGC